CTACAAATATCATGTAAACTGAGTCAGCAACTAAATCTAAAAATTAAAAGTGAATATGTCATTAAATATATAAATACGATGTCAATTTGAATTCAAAAGTTATAGTGATGTTTACATTTTATTTTCATAGAGGCAGGTCTCCGTATACGTTTATGTATGATATATCATACGCTCCGCCACGCCCACATCTTTTGAGATATTTTTTTGAAAATTATTAAAGTGGGTTTCTAAATAAATTTTAAATTCTAAAATAAATAAACAGAAAATGCAAAAAACAAAAAAAAAAAATTTAAAAAAGCTTACCCTACTGACCCCTTAATTAAGGGGTTATATACAGTTAGGAGGTTGTAAAAAGGCATTTTTCAAGAATTTTTCTAAGCAAACTATCTTTAATTGTTTATAAAAATAAGAAATTTTCATCGGATGGGGAAATCCTTCGACTAATTACTAAAAAATATAGTTAGGAAGCTTGTGTAAAAATTTCAGACCGATAGGTTCAGCCGTTTCTGAGAAATCTTCCTCACCGTCTTTGAAAACGCCTTTTCGAGAAAAACGAGTTTAAAGTTTTGAAAGCACTTTACTTGTAGTTAATTTTTTTCACTAATGTGTCTATAACTTCGAAAATATTCGTCGGATCAACTTGAATGTATACTCAGATATACTCGTATATATATTAAGAAAACGCAAAAAAAAGAAATCGATTTTTTGAAAATCCTAACTGTATATAAGAATTCTTCATCTGGTATTACAATATCTATGTATGACATGCCATCCAATCCCTATCAATTTAGATGATGGATGTTGTATCGTCCACATTTGGGTGAAAACATATAATTTGGGACTTACTGGACCAATTTCAACCAAATTCATAGGTAGGTAATATTATTAGCAAACGATGCCTACACTTCATATTCCTTATTTTTTCACTTTCCATTATACAAATCAAGGACCAATCATTGTATCTGGCTAAAACTTTGCACGAAAAGTGCCTTTGAGGTGTGCCAATTATCGGACCAGAATTATTCAAGCCTCCAGATACCCAATATGTGAAGCCCAGTTCCTATTCCGAACTTTATGCCAAAAATATCGGTTGTCAGATATATTATTGATTTTCGAAAAGAGTTTTTCTCGGCAAGTTGCGAGAATATTAAATGGTCAGTTCTACCTGAACTTTTCTCTCTCTTGCTCGTTTTACTATAAAATTTGCCCACACCTGAAACTACTTCTCTTGTTTTGATCCTTGCGAGAGTATAAACTGTTCAGTTACAACTGATTATAGCCCTTCCTTTACCTGTTTAGCAACGTTTAGCTCACTATGTTGCACACTCTTACATTTTTGAAATGAAGCATTTTTAACAAAAATTACGGGAAATAAATATAGCGAGCAGATTAATTTTAACGTTAATAAATTTACAAGAGCCATTTGTTAAAGGATAAAAACTCTGGACTTTATTTATTGACATTTACTCTTTGTTATATGAAATCGATATGTTTTGCAATATTTGTGTTTATATCTTATTGCAGTTTATTAAATTTCACTCTTTTTATGTTTATTTTTATACATTTGTTCACTGTATTAGGGTGGTTATAAGTTTATTTTTGTTACACAACCTTCGCATTACAAAGAAATTGTAAGTAAACACAAATCTGCTTCAATTCAAAAAAACGAGTATACAGTTACATAGTAGATACAGCTTAGACAACAAATATGAGAAAAAAGTTGAGTTCATTTTTTACTATAATTTTAGATTGTAATAATTTAAACAACTGCAATAACTTCTGTACACCGCGTTTAAATGTTAATTTCTGTAGAGATTCTACTCATATCAATCTATAGATGGCAAAAATTATATGAACTTGGTGCCATGCTTTGGATTTTAATTGAATAATATATTATGTTTCGACAAGTGATTTAACATACTTTTTAGTGAGTTGAAGATGATTTTTTGGAAAATATAAGTAGTTTTTTATTAAAAATAAATAATATTGGCTGCACTTAATTTACAAATTATTTATAAGTCGGTTATAATCAAGTGTTTTTTATGCCAAAGTTAATAATTTCTGTGTCTCCTCCAGTTGGACTTCTTGTACCGACAAGACGACTTGAATCTATCACTTATCATGGATGGCTGACGTAAGGACAGTCGAAAATTGGAAAGGATAATTAAAAATACGAAAAAATTAAGAAGAAAAAACAATCAAAAATTAGGTAAGTAGGCCTGTTGAAGTGGACCCACGGATGAAATTAAAACTTTTATTTCATAGTCAAAATCTTATTCTTAGCACGTAAAATCTTACTTCCGATTCACCTGAATGTGTTCGTACAAATCTCTGTTTAAAAATAAAGTGTTGAGATGATGCCACTTCGTCTTCTTCCAAGCAAATGCGGCAAAATTCTTAATTTTAGTTCATGGACACCAATTCAGCAATGCATACCATAAATTTACAATTTATGTCGGACCAGAAGGAACTTGCTACGTGCTAGTATACGAGTAGCACTCATCAAGCTCAGTTACGGTGTAGCCATATAGTAGTAGTAGTTGACACTTTGATAGTTAGTTTAGGTATATTCTTTTATTAAACTCTTTTAAATTGTATTTTACTATTTAAAGTCGAAGTCAAATTTACTACATTGTTATTTGAGGTCACCCTAAAGGCTTGCGGTTGAATCATTTCAATTGTAAATGGTGAAGAATTTCAAGTTTGTGACATGATGTTTCTCATATGTATGCACATCACATATGTGAATCTCGTAGTTCGTGCATGAGGGGCGACAAGAAAATACCAACGGCACCGACTTACTCATTGCTAACTGTTTACTGCTATGTAATTCGGCAAATCTTCTCATTTCAGGTAGCAATTGAAATCAATTTCAAAATAATATTTAAGATATCTTCAGTTATAAACATATGCTTTTCCTTTCGATTCTATGTAAAATGCAAATATGTAATATAATTGAAATATTTTAGAAAACTTAACAATTAGCTAAATAAAATTTTTAAACAGACATTGTCTGAAAAATCCAGATACTACTTGAAACTATAGTGTTATTAAGAGTAGTGCTCGTATTGGTACCATTGATGACGGAAGCAAACGGCGCATTCAGCAGCTAGTAACCAATAGTCATCTGTTGCAGGCAAATTAAACATCATCTAGATATGACTAAAGAACGTGCGAATCAAATAATGAGAAATTATTTAAACCTAAAATATGGAAATCGAATGCCTATGTTATGTCTAAAGCAACGTCAAAAAATGCACGAATTACATTTTATGGAAAATATAAATTTTGGGCGAAATTTAATTTGTACGGACCAGATGGTCTTCATAAATATTGAAAGGATTTAAAACGTCCAAGAAAAGCATGCCATAAATGCATTCGTGGTGGTGGATCGCATGTAGCGAAGAAAGCAAAGGATAATTTTATTGCTGAATTGACCTGTCTTAAGTTCAGATTTGAATCTCATCGAGGATCTGTGTGGAATTCTTTCAGACAAAATTTATACAACTTCCAAGTTATATGACAACTAAAACATGCAATTGAGACCGAATGGGGCAGATTTGATTTATCCGTACGAAAAAGACTGCTGGAGCCAATCCAATTGTTGAAAATACAAAAGGTAACACGATTTTTAAAAAAATGGAATACTAATTGTCTAAAAAGATATGAACTTGTATTGAATTTTTTTTTTCACACACATATAAATCTTTTTTATGGAAATTTCGGAAACTATTATTAATTTTTAATTAAGAATATAATATTTTAATATACAATTGTTTAATATTTAGTACTTTTATTTAAATGGGGTATGCAACTGTGAATACGAATATATGTAATAACCGTATAAGAGAAGTAAGAATAAGAAAGAAAATAACCTAACGAAACATATTGTTGAAAACCGCATAAATCAAGCGCCCAAAGTTGAGAATATGGTACGATAGGGAGATTGCCCGCGTGAACAGAATGGGCTATACGGGAAATAGCCGAAAGTTTTCATACATGAATGAGATAATATCAAATCCACTAAAAAAAAAATATAATGAATATAACTCAGTGACCACTGCCACGTCCACAAACCGCCATTAACCTAAAACATATAAAGTGTAATAACTAAGCACTAAATTAAGATATTAAACTGCAATTTGGCGCAAAGGATCGCAGTAGTAAGGGGAACTTGTGGGGGAAAATTTTTGAAAAAATAACATAAGAACACCTACCGGCAGCGTAAAAATGGATGAAATCGGAATATGACCTCTTTCACTCCCCCTATAACGAAACGGTTAAAAACTACTAAAAGCGTGATAAATCAATAACTGAATATGCCAGAGCAGTTAAAATTTACCTACAAGATGGTATGAGAAGGCTTTATAGGAGTTGGGGTAAAAATTGGACATCGTCCACATTTTGGCGAAATCACATAGCTCGGGACCCGACCTACCGATTTTGACTAAATTTAGTACGTGGCATTCTTCTTCGGGTGAAATCGTATTGCAACCACGCCTACTTACTTTCCATACATATAGCACAATTTTAAATGTTCGGTTGCACCCGAATGCGAAAATATGTAACTATGACTTGTATTATATAAGTGTTATATATAAGTCTTATATATATTTTGTATACAAATTAAATAAATGTAGACAGGCCAGCCCTGAGTACTTCCATAATGTTCTTACACATTTTTAAATTGGATGAAATCGAATAGAACTTTCCATATTACAACATTTTGAGTTACTTGTCCTTATTTGTCACAAGCTATATACCAAATATTAATGGATGTCTATTAGAGTTGTGCAAACATTTAGACACATTTAAAACGCGTATGAGTCCTTAAAAATTTCGTAAGTATTTGATGGTTGGCAGTATCCCAACTCAGCTCTTTATTATGTGATATTCAAAACTTCCAATTCCAATTTGGTCGAGTTCATTTCCACATATGCACTTATGCATGCATCACAAATAATCTACAAACGTTATTTCCCGTTCTTTAGTTGACAACTTCAATTACTTTGTGGTGTTTGCGAGTTGTGCATTGCTGTGTTGATGTTCGGGACAATAATTGTATTATTGGTCAGTGAAATCGAGTTGTTTGTGCCGAGAGCTGGCAACTGCGTGCAACTGACACTGTCGCTACCACCGGTCGTCCGCCTTCGTCGTTTGACCCAACCGCTGAAGCCTGCCTCCCCAACCCTTCGGCTACTCCCGTTGCTCATACGTAGCCCTTTGAATGTGTCGAGAAATGCCCGCCGAAAGCTAGCATTCATGAAGCAATATGTTATGGGGTTGCAGCAGCTTGAGGAGTACGCGAGCAATTGAAAAAAGCAGATGGATGTGTAGTCGATGTACTCGTAAATAGCTGGGCCAATAAACATAACAATGGTGTTGATCACGTACAGTGGCGTCCAGCATATGAAGAACTCCAGCACCAAAACGAAAAGCATTTTGACGACACGTCTTTTACTTTCCAGATTTTTCGCCTCGTTTGACCTGTTAGAACGAAACAGTGAAAACCAAATGAATATTTTTATCTGTCGTTTCAACCCACTTAATTCTAGTAAAATAATGAAATATTTAGATTTATATATATGTATATGATAGCAACTTCTGTGGATGAAATAGATGGATGAAATTTTGAAATTTGAATCTTGACAACTGCTTCCGAAATGGAGGAATTTCTCTTTGTTAGCTAATTTAAGAGTTTAGGCATTTCTTGTGAAGGTTACTTGTTATAAGTTCCGAGAACTGAAAAAGTCCAAAGGGAATAAAATCATGATAACAAGTTGGTACATATATTTTGTTCGTACTTCGTAGTTTTTTGTTTCTATAGGCATATATTTTGTTGTGAAACACACCACATGTGAGCCCAGCGCCGACATGTTCGTCCAGCACGTTGACTCGGTTTAGAAGACAACGGAAGTTCGCTTAATTCGATTCACTGAATTCGATCTAGTTCTTGTCTAAAGTTATTACGAGTATTATATTTATTTGCAGAGAGAGAGTTTAATTCCTTTCCTCAAAACATTACTCTTTAGTTTCAATTTTGTTTTCGATTTGTTAAAACTTGGACCATAGCGAATTGTGTACGTAAAATGATGATGACCATTGAAAGGGCAATATGAAGCTTATTTGAATATTTGCAAATGTGTGAGGGTGCACGAATGCCTCCTTGTCAAGCTCACCTTCTCAGCGCGGATTCAGAATTGCGTATGGTTGGTGAGGAATCGAATATCCGTCGATTGTCCATCAAATATTGCTGTTGCAGTTGCAGCCGAGTTGGTTTCCAAAAATTTTGCTGCTGATTACTGTTATGATTGGCCAAATTGGCACGCAGTGTCAAACGCGATTGCCTATGTTGATGCGGATGCTGCTGTACAGTATATACTGATGGCTCACTCTTATTGCCATTGTTGTTGTAGCCGTGCAGTTCTCTCATTGTATTATTTCCAATTTCCCGCGGGTTCTCTTGCTGCAAGTCCATTTGTGACTCTGCCGCATCCACACCCGACAACACACGCAAACCAAACAAGTTCTGTGGTGTTTTCACTGATGTAGTCGAAAAGGACTTGTTTGAAATGTCTTCAATGACGCCGGCATCTGTGTGACCGGAGAAAAAAACAAATAGAGAAAAGTAATATGGTAGATGAGAAAAATCGTAATTAATCGGAAAAAGGTTTTAGTTATCGTTAAACGAGCAATAACTTTTAAATAAAAACTTAGCCCATTTTAAAGTATTAGATTCAAATTCGCTCTACTGAAAACATTAGAAGATTTCATATCGAAAATATAAAATTAATGAAATATATAAACTTATTTTGTGTTATCTACTTTGTGAAATAAAATTACTTAATAGCATGCGCAAAAGAGCTATGTTCGGATCGACATTTCATTTCCATAACTTGCAAAGATCAACAGCGCAGTAAATTACTTCAGGGGTTGACACCGTTAGACTTTTTCATTAAGATATATGTATGTAGTTTCATTAAGGTACCTCACATACTAACACCAATCTACGCATATCGAGTAAAGTCGGAATTCATTTCAAAATTCTGAATATAAGTTATATAGTTATCGCAGTTTTCTCTCGATTTTATCCAAATATACACTTTTATTGGATAAACACGACCTTTCAATTTTAATAAACTAACTAAAATATATTATATATGTGAAAGAAAATCACCTGAACATTCGAAAATCTTATATATTTATTTTGGAGCTAAGGGTACTAACTCGATTCAACACATTTGTCGGTGTTATTGTCTGATTTTACCAATTTTCATGGTCGAAAGGATTTATTCTCTGAAAAATTGTCTTAATTGCTTTTGGAGATATGTAAATTAAATGTATTATGGTCCGAGGCCACACCACAGATTACTCTTCTTAATGCTATTCGTTGTATCAAACATCAGCCTTTTCTGTTATAGCGGATCTTATTGCTTTGATTACATATATCTCGATTAGTTTTAGGTGATACTAACAACCGTTAGCTGAGCAAAACTATTATACTCTGTAGCAACATGTTGCAAGAGTATCAAACTCGGAACTAGTGGTAGCGTTTTCTAAGGTTTACAGAATATTAAAGATAGTAAAATTCAAGAGAGTGCCGTATTAATATTCATACTGTGGCGTCTAAATAAAAAGAATAAAAGTCACACAGATTACGTAGTTCTTAATGTGGCGGTTGTTTGGCACTAGATATTCTGAAAAGGATAGACGGCGAATTTAGAAAAAACACTAAATTATAGAACTAAATTGATTTTGCCCAAAAACACATTTGTTCTGTTTTTTAAAGACCTGCTTACTTTGGAACGCATCTTGTATATTAATAAAAACTATGCAGTTGTTGATCAACGGTCAAATCATTGGAAGGCTTGTGTGATAGTAAAAGGTGACCATGTGCAATAGATTAACTGTATTATAAAATGTATTACCTATATTATAATGTAAAAATTATTTGACTACTCTATGAAGATTTTTAAATTTTTTTCACACCATTTATGATTTATGCAATGCTGAATAATTTTTGACAAGTAAATGTCAAAAGAAAGTTCAATTAAATACATTTATTAATTTGAAGCTTTCAACTACTGGACTGGAAAATATATACTATATAAATTGGTAGAAATACGTATAAGACTCCAATTTCACACGAACATAAAAAAACTAAAAAGAAGCATAATATTATATTAGAAGCATGAGGAAAAAGGAGTTCATATTTTTGTTGAAGTAAACGTAGTGAAGTTTGTTTTCATACACCACAAATATAATGACTGACATTTACAAGTACATATGTATGTTAAGTTAAAAAATCTCTATCATGCAGTCAATTTACTTGTTATTTTCACTGCTAAATATACCCGTATTGTTGTTTTAAATTATTTGTGGCATTTGTATTAGCTGCTGAAAGAAATTCAGCATGCGCGTGTCGTTAATTTCTTATGGCGCAGAGAAAATTACTCTCCACATGAGCCCAAAGGCCTAAATGTATATGTATTTAAATATGTAAGTGGGAGTACTATTATACATACCTCTCATTATGTGCTTTGTTACAAAGTCATTAATAAATTCTGTATACAGTTGGATATTGAAATCGGCTTGGAAGTGATGCGTTTACGACGTCAATAAATAATTACAATTATTAGAATATGATTGTATAAAGAAAAGCGATTTGAAACCTCTATACATATGAACATATATGAATGAATAATTATATATTATAATTGGGTAAAAAAGAGATATATCTGAGAAATACTTTCAATATTTCCTTGAGCCTTGAAAAGTAGGAGATTATAAAATTTTTGGTTACATCCTTCGTAGCCGCTCCTTACATGTTTTATATGCCTTGCCATGTATTTATACTCGCAACGCACTGAATGTTGGTAAAGTCTTACCGCTTTCGCCCACAACAATATACAATATTACATAAACTTTCATCGAAATTTCAGGCTTTTCGTAAAAGCAGTTATAATAAATAAACCTTTAAAATTATGGACTTTTTATATCTATATCAATATTGAATCTTCTGACAATCCAAAGGAACTCCATATTAAAATATTTTTGAAAAGTCCTTAAAAGCGAATGGAGCTTTTGGAAATCAAAACTTTCGTAATTTAAAATATTTTGAGATATCTGCCAAGCTTTCACAGAGACCAAAAATGTCTCAACCGATTAAAATGAATAAGATCACATTACCACAAGCAATAATTTGGCTCAGAAGAAGGAGGATAAGAGTAGCAAATAATCTGTTTTTTAAACAAAATTCTAAACTTAGTCTTGACAACAATATTCTGCTATATAATAGAGGTACTCAGATCGATAACACGTTCAACCTTGTAAATGCGAAACGGAAGTATTCACAAAGATCTGTGTATTCATACGGCAGCAGAAAGAAATATGAACTTAAACGAAAGGAAAATCTGTATCTTTAAGCTAGTGCCTTGCTGCGATCTCGTAATCAAACCCATTTGACAAACCAACACTCTAGAAAGCAATGTATTAGCGAAATGATTTAAACCGATTTGAGATGTATTACGCATTGTTCTGTTTGAAGAAAGTATATTTAATAAGTAAATAAAGTTTAAAACAAAACTATATTTTCGCATATTATGCTATTAATTTGTGGAAAATTATTAAATAATTTAGAATATATCAGTTATATGGGCATGATCACCACTCGATTTCACACTATTATGTAAATTGGTGAACTGTTGTGTTCTTATCTAATTAATGTTTTAAATTTGTCGGACGGCAGGCAGGATGCAGGTCGCAATTTCTATCGGAAACAAAAAATTAAAAGAGATTCATATTTTTTAATAACTTGTCTTCTAATTAAACTAAAAAATTTCTAAAGGAGTGTAAAATTTTAAAGAAATTGTAAAAAAGTGGTTTGGACCAAAAAATGTTTTCTTTATGTTGCTTAAAAATATGTTCAAACTTGACTTTTATTAGTTTTAGTTTTAGATAATTTAATGCCAAAGATAATAGACTTTGCCCCAATTCCATACCAGGTTTAATTTTTTTCTATCCTGCCCGCCAATTAACAAAATCGTAAAAATTAAAAATCGAGAAATCGCGTGTCAGTTTCGCTTTCTGCCTAATCGCTCATATATCTGCTAGACGCTCGGTCACTATCTTCCTTCTAGTTTCAAAAATATGTCAAATTCCCATCTAAAAGTGTGGGGACATATTCTTAGATTATTTTTAAAGAGATTTAAGCAAAAAAAAAAAAAAGATTTTTTGAAGCTTCTAAATGAGGTTCCCCACTTTTTTTTATTTTTTTATAAACTATCAATAATTAGGTGAATATTTTAATACTATAACAAAAAAAGTTGAACTTCAGGAAGAACAGCTACTATGCACAGTATTTTCCAAATTCAATAATTAAGATTTTCAATATACGAAACGTAAATCATCATCATGTGTTGATTTCTTTTAAATCTTCATCTTTAACGTATAGAATGTTTCGATCTTTAAGAATTTAGTTATCTAAGCATTTTGAACTGATTTCGATGAAGAATTTCAATGTTCGATTGGGTTGGGGTACTCCATGATGGGTTTTCATATGTCCACACAGGCTTTAGTAGTCTTTATCATGCTTTTTATATGAATTTTGAGAGTTAATCCTTGATTGATATCTAAGAGTTATTCGCAGTTATACTATTTAAGAATACTCAAACTCAAACTGATATTTTTGTATTATATTGTACTTTGATATGCAAACTTACATATATTTTCTTAAAAAATACAAATATGAACTACCTTTAGATTGCTTAATGCAGAGAAAGTACTTATGATTTTGGTGAATATTTGATTTCTTGAAGATCTTTTCTAAGTTTCCAACAATAACCTCCCAACTTTACCGCGCTCTACCATTAAGGGAATGTCCTGATGGAGAGTTTTGTGTTTTTGTCGGAAAGAATTCTAGATGAGAGTCCAGCATATATACATATTTATAAGGACATATAACACCTCAAAGCTTTATATGTTATAAGTTCATTTATTAAGTCTTTGCAGTTTCCTAGAAAATTTAGGACAACGCTCAAAATATTTCCAGGCGAGTTTTTCCCCTTCGTTCGGTTTTTCTTGAAAACTCTTATCAGTAATCAGTTGCCGTATTTGTGGTCCTACAAATATTAAATCTTTAATTCTTGACTCGCTTAGTTTGGGGAATTTCTCTTTGAGATATATAATATATAATAAAATCCACTGCCGACAAATCAGTCCGATCTTTGTATACAATGATGGTAATGAAAGTCAACAGTTTCTGCAACGAAATCTTGTATAACCAATCTGTGGTCAAAGAAAAAGTGCATGATTTTGAAATCTGTTTCATGTCAAAACCGTGACTTAGAACATGTGCGTGACTTCCAGAGAAGAATCCTAATTTTATGATCCCTTTGGAAACTTTAACATATGCCTCGTTTCTTGCTTAATCTAACCTAATAGATTGTATGTTTCCAAAAAGTTAACTTGACATAGTTTTTGTATTAAATTTCAGATTGCTTCGATTTCGTCCCCTGCAATAGCAACTTCCTCATAGTGCCTAGGACAATTTTGCACGGACGGACGGAAAATGTGTCCAGTGTGTCCTAAATCAATGAATCGAATGTATAAATGCATGATCCAGATTCCGAAATAATCACGTATCCTAAGTAAATACTGGGCCCAAAGAAAAAAGGCCAAAGTAAAAAATATATTTTTTCCTTAAGCGTTACGAGCTCTTTAGCCTGCCAAGCCAATTCTAGACTGGAGTATCAGAGTCTTCCGTATTTGAATGCAAATTAATTTTAATGAATATTCACTTCGACATAATTCTTTCGGTTCGTTGTATTGATCTCAAAAAGTGCTTTCATATAATTTGGTTACTTTTTGATCTGCGTTGTATCTGTTTGCATCAAGTTTAAATTATTACAACATTGAAGTAAATAAGGTGCACTTGATTACAATAATTTACGATTAGTTCTAAATCAATCTTAATCACATTAAGCACAATTTTCAAACACAGACGTTTATACCTGTACAACAATAAATATTCACATTTTCTTAACAATGAAACATGCTTTCAATTAATCATATTTAACAACACGTGATGCATTATAGGCAAAACATGCCGACATCATTCAATGTTGGCACGTATTTATAACGGTCGCAAACACTATTGCGCTCAGTTAGTCGCTGGGGGTGAACTGGGGCGCCAAACTCGTAATATCAGTGAAAATCGTGTCATATAAGAAATTCGCTTTAGGCTTGTTTTCGTCATAACTCTATCTACTCCTTTAATTAGTTCAAATGTTTTCTTTGGTACTAATTCTAATGGTAATACTGCTCTTTAGCGCACACCTGGTGTGGAAATGCAGTTATTGGGTGCGGCACGGCGTTCGTGGACCACGATGTTTGCCGATTTTAGGCAATATGGATGATTTTTTCCTCGGCCGAAAACATTATGGTGATGTCTATAAAAACCTTTATGAGTACGCTTTGAAATGTTTTGTGTTAACCAGTGTTATTTTAATTGTGATACAATTTACCATATTAAAGTGCTCATCCAAACCTTCCTTATGTTGGAATTTATCGGCTCTTCAATGAGCCGGCAATATTGTTGCGCACTCAGGAAATGATCAAAGAGGTGATGATACGCTCATTTCAACACTTCCAGGATAATGTGTTATGGATTAGTCGGAAACGTGATCCTGTCGTTTGTTACAATCCATTCATCGCGAAAGGCGAAATGTGGAAAAATATGCGCGCCGAGATTCTACCGATTTTCACACCAAACAAAGTGAGTCAAACTGACATCGAGATCGCTCGGTTTATTAATTAGATACTTATAACATATGTATATATGTTCATATCGAGAACGGTATGTCCAGTGGAGCGGAACAAATTAGCCTTTCTCTATTCTAAATATTCTCATACTTTAATTCCGATACAAACAAAAACCTTTTTAAGTTATTTAACTTCGGATTCTGTACAAGCCTTTCTATAATTGTTGACGAAGTTCCTAAAATTATATCTGCATACTAATTAAATTGTGTAGTATTTTTATCAACTCGATTTAATTTGAATTAATTCCTTAAATATTTACTACTCTGGCGTCTTGTGGAAACAGTGTGACGATCTTTAAGTATGCTATAGAATTTCCAATCGACGAATATTAATACGGTCTGAAAGAAGAGTTTGCAGATTACTAGGGTACATTTTGTTTTACCGGTCCTTGAAAATTACTTTTGATCGATAAAGCACAATGGTCTGGATCGGACCAAGTATGCTTAGTGTATGGCCACCATTTGGGAGGCTGTAAAGTCAATTACTGATTCGAGATTCATAATCTACCAAACTTTCTTCCGTATATTTGAATCTTTTAAGCGTCTAGAAGTTATTTGTGTTTTATATGTACCTCATGTGTATTAATTTGGTTCATTAATTTCTTCCAGGTCAAAGCTTCGTTTCCCCATATTAAGTCCATTTGCAAAAAACTTGATTTGTTTGTGTCGCAGCAAATAAACAACTCAAATAATTCCTTCGAAGCAAAAGATGTGCGTTCAACCAATTGCTATTTAGTAGAACAACACAACCACATGTACGTATATACAGTAGTGGCCAGTGAAATCCGGACAACTCAAAAATCATAGTTTTTCTTATTATTTTAGGGGAATGTTTAATTTTTTTATTTTAAAATAATAATACATATTTAGTACATTAGTATTAAGCGTAAATAAGTCAATGTTGTGAATTGCCTTTATAATTTTTTATTTTTATTTTTAGATATTGTATCATTTTGGTAGCTAACATTATAAACAGTGATAACTTTTTTTTTAGTTACATTATATAAATGCTTTTATAGTTTTAGTTAAAGGAAACATTAATCTTAACAAAAACACTCTTTTTAGTATTTTCTCAAACGTCCTTTGTTTCTTATAACGGCTTTTATACGCTCGGGCATTGAATTTATCATGTCGTTTATTGTTTCTGCTCCAATACCGTTATACCACGCTTTTTCGAGAACTTCATCTAATTCTGCTAAATCCTTTGGTCTCTGTGATACCTTCATTATAACCCAAAGCTTCTCAATGGGATTGATATCTGGACTGTCACCTGGCCACTCCAAAGCCGCAACCCCGATTTTTGGTAAATAATTCTTCACCTTAAAGAAAAAAGAACAAATATAAAATTTGTAAACAAAATTGTAGTAATAAACTCTAGTTGTATAAAAAAATGGATACTTACTATTTTGGCACGATGGCAGGGCGCAGAGTCATCCTGACCGTTCTGATACCGTTCGCGAAAAATGGTTTTCCATTAAAGGTATTAAATCGTCTCAAGTAGCTCCTGATGCTTAGTCCCATTGACGATTCCTTCTATTACGCCTAGTTGCCAAACCCATAGTAGGAAAAGCAACCCCAGACCATTCGGCCTCCTCCCTGCTTAACAGTTCTTTGAACACATTCGTCCTTGAGCCGCTCATCAGTTCTCTTTCTCACGTAGGACATACCGTCGCTACAAAAAATGCTTAATTTGAATTTATCTGAGAAGAGTACATTTCGCCAATAAAGTTGAGTCCAAATTTAATATCCTTTTGTCCATCGCAAACGGGTTTCACTCACTTCGACGAACAGTTCTTGTGCTAACTTGCATACCGACATCTTCACATAACTCCACTTTAATGTCCTCAGCAGTTTTGAAGCGATTCCTTATACTGATACGTTGTATCACCCGATCTCCCTTGCCTTCTTCTTTGCTCCAGAGCCAGTTTTTCTCTTAAGAGACCTTGTTTCATCGAAATTTTTTAGAAATTCTCCCATGGAAGATTTGCTGAAGCCAACTCTATCACTAATTTCCCGAATGTTCACATTTTCTTTTCGCAAAAAAAAAAAATTAGTTTTTTACAGTTGGAATTTTTTTTTTAATTTTGGCATATTTAAGCTTTAACGAAGCCCGAGCGCGAAATAAACTTTGAAACTATTAAAAAGAAAACAAAAAGTTGTTATAAAACGTGCATAGAGCACAAATTTATGTGAAGGAATAATCCTTTCTTCAGAAAATTACACTTGTCGGTTACAATCGAGTTTTAAATACAAACCCACATGTTGTCCGGATTTCACTGTCCGCTACTGTATGTACTCGTGTGTATGTTAATGTTCGTACTCGTTTTCAACAGCTGCTATCGAAGTATACACTCGATGTGGTTGCTTCAGCCGGCTTCGGACTTGATGGTGCTTCGTTCGACAACACCAATTCAGATTTTACACAACTTGTTGAGCATCTATTTATGCCAAATACTTGGAGTTTACTCGAAACGATTGCATTACTGTTCTCACCATTACTCGGCGACATCATAAACTATCGGTAAGTGTGCGTAATGATGCATTTAACGGGAGCGCATTCGACTATGGCACATTATTGCAGCTACGTGCCATCAGGCGTACAGCACTGGCTTCGAGGAATAATTGGAAAGGTTTTAGCAGGACGTTGCTTGCAGGAAGAGCCAAGCAAAGTCAAATTTACACCAAAATCAAGTGATTTTCTGCAATGGCTTATCGAAGGCAGACATAAATCGCATGAACCGGTGGATGTGGCAACAATGGTTGGACATTGTAGTACTTTTCTTCTAGAAGGTTTCGAGACATCATCATCACTAATGGCCTTTGCACTGTACGAGGTACGGCACAGATCACATATCCACACTCGCACATACATTCACACATACAGCTGTGTAGTGCATTAATACATATAAATATGCATTTTTTAATTACTTTTTTTGGTATTAAATATTTCATTTAGTATGCTAAACACCCGTTGGTGCAGGCACGTGTTCAGCAGGAGATTGACGAAGTTTTGGCTCGGCACGGCGGCGAAATGTGCTATGATGCTATACAGGAAATGCCTTATTTGGGAGCGTCATTATATGGTAGTTGCAAGATGATTAATATTCTCGTCACAATTCGCCTGTTTTAACACGCAAAATTTTTTCAAGTCATTTCAATTCGTGTCTGTTTTTCTCCGTGTTTATGTTTTTACAGAAACTCTGCGTCTTTACCCCCCAATGATGGCGTTATTGAAACACTGCACGAAAGAATTCAAATTACCGCCACAGACCGTAGGTGGCCACTCCTTTCAGGTGCCGGTGGGTATGGTCTTTATCGTTCCGGTGAAAGCTATACACTAGTGAGTATTTATTATTTATTAGGGGAACAAAGTATGTTGAATAGAAAAATATGGCGTAAGAGATTTTTTAGGTTTAATATTGCCATATATTAAAACAATGAAATCACTAAAGACATATTACATAATACTTCTAAATTCATCATCTCAATGATTGCAAACTTTACAGATGGAATATATATAACATATTAATAAACTTTAAGATAAAATCTATTTCTCTAAATAGATATCTATTTACGCTTTAAGCGTCCACCTAGATTTTGAAACTTCTGATTACATTTAGAAATTGAAAATGGTGTCTGAAAAAAGTGAATATAACTATCCTCTTACCACGATAGAAGCTGTGAAAACAAAAATCAAATTTTAAAAATATGAAAATGTATCAAATACGTCGGTATTTGAGTTTGACATTTCCCGCGGCGTGGGCATTGTCATAGAGAAACTGAGCTTTCTTATGCTGCTTCAGAAAGAGTTAAGGTTGTTACCATGGTCACACTATTTGGTTATTATGAGGTTTTTATTCCAAGATGCTTAATGGGGGCAATATGATGTCGCCAGATTCTACCCAAGCTTGTGTATTCTAAGCTGTAGATTATGAAAAATATTTGTCTACCAAAGTATTATTCCATATTTATTCGATATTCGATAACCTTCACAGAATTTAGGATTCTCTACTAATATTTTTTAATTTATGTTAAAAGTATTTCAAAATTAATTTTGTATATATTTTTTCAGCGATGCTGATTTATATGAATATCCTTCGCAATTTCAACCAAATCGGTTCTTAGACCCAAGTCTTAACTCAAATAGGAGTTTATTTTTAGGATTTGGAGAGGGACCGCGCATGTGTCCAGGTAAAAAGTCTACACACTCTTCAACCTCGACAATAGAATAATAAAAAACTAATCTAAGCATTTTGTATTTCTCAAGGAATGCGATTCGGCTTGGCTCAAAGCAAAGCTGGAATAGTGACGTTGTTATCAAAGTATTCCGTTAGCTTGGGCGAGAATTTTAAGCCATTGAAACTTTCAGCAACAACCTTTTTAACAGCCCCTGAGGATGGCATATGGGTTTCGTTTAAAGAAAGGAAGTAGTTTTTTTTCTCTTCAAATTGTAAATATTTTAAGAAAGGGATATCTGCAGTAAAAGTAATAAATGTGGTTGCACAATCACAATTCTTTATGATTTGTGTGGTAACCCTTTTAACTATTCTAGTTGTAGTTATTATGAAGATTGATTTAATTAATTTTATTTGTGAAATAATTGTCTTAATATATTTCTCAATAAATTTTATCAAGTGTTATGATGATTCCCAAGAAGCTGTAGGATATGAGATACAATTTACTTAAAGAGGTTATTATTGGAAATCAATCATGAAACTTTTCGCATTGTCTTTTATTCTTATTTTACTAAAGGACAAAAGGGACGAAATATCTACCTAAACTTTTACTAGTATTCCATTAAACGAATTTGCCTTTTTTAGTCAGGTATTTCAACAGTGAACTGTAAAAAACTAAATCCGTTATTTTTCCAATAGATAACTTTGGTAATCTGCATCTCGTCACGCAATTAAACGTTGCAAAAATAATAAATACTACTTTTGTATGATAAGTGGGAAGAAGAGAAATTACGCTATATTATAAAGTATTTCTTCAAAAAAGGCGATCAATGCAATGCAATCACAAAACTAGCTCACTTTCCTCAACAATGGAAAAAGTCAATTGTAGTGATGATACCTAAGCCTGGAAAGGACAAAACGTAGCCATGCCCCTATAGGCCCAGACTTCTTAGGCTCCGCATTAACAAACCACATCTTCAAACCCACAACATAATACCATCTCACCAATTTGGCTTCAGGGAAAAGCATGGAACGATTGAGCAAGTACATAGGATCACATGTGAAATTCGAAAACAGAAAAACGGGAATATTGCTCTGAAATATTTCCTGATGTCGCGCAGGCTTTTGATCGAGTATGGTTAAATGATCTTATGTACAAAGTAACGACGCTACTCCCGCAAAACACCCTCGAACTGTTTAAGTCATATCTTTATGATATACATTTTGTAATTCGATGTAACACCACTACATTTGAAGTGATTGAAGCTGGTCTACCACAAGACAGTGTTCTTGGCCCAATGTTATACATATGTTTTATACACTTCAGATATCTCGGTAAACGACCGCTTGACTATTATGTCTACTTTTGCCGATTACACTGCAATAATCAGCCACTCCAAGTGCCCAATTGATGCAAATGCGCTCCTAGGAAATCATTTTGCATCCGTAGCAAGGTAGATCTATCCGTAGCAAGGTAGATCTCAAAGAGGCAGAAGTCAAAATCAAAGGGATCCGCAAAACAAGAGCCGGGGCTCTATTACTAGAGCTAGAGAAGGGRCAGTSCACAAAGGCCAGCTTCTGTGAGGCACTTAAGTCCACCCTTAAAGAGACTGCAACGGTAGCCGACCTTAAAACTAAGGTTACTGTAGAAATCAGAGACCTCG